TGTGCTGCCATCCGCTAAAATAAAACACATAAGTTTGGAGGACATCGATAGAGCGGCGGCAGACGCTCACAGATTTATCGAGAACTATATTAAAACGGAAAGAGAGCTCATCGATAAGGGTTTGACTCCTATTCTCTATGCATATATTGAATGGGATTCAAGAATTTGAATACAATTACAGGTGTATTCCAAAGACACGGATCAACTCAATCGCAACACCAGGCCTTCTTCGGGCCGTTTGATGAAAACCAATTCCAGTTAACAAAAGGAGGATTTATTAATTTGTTGACTACTATTAAGATAAAAGAGAGGTTAGATATTGTTATATAACTATTGCATAAGCTTTATGTACATTAACTCTGGAAATGAATTACACAAATATAGTGCAGTGTATTTAGTACTGTATAACAGGACTTCCCTTAAATTGAACAAAAGTATAGCTTAATAATGAAATATACTGTATAATATAATATACTGAATAATTATTTTACTGGACTGTAACAAATGATAACGATTTGAAAATATTAGTTATAAATGTTGTGTAAAACAGATTTAAGTTGACTAACGAAGAGGCGAGGGATGGGCTCTGGAAGTACTCATTGGAAAACACAGAACTGGAAAAGTATTGCCTTCAAGAGCCGGTTTGCAAACTATCCAAATATAGGACACCCGACGGCAGTTGTAATAACCTTCAGCGACCACTTTGGGGGAAGTNACACCCGACGGCAGTTGTAATAACCTTCAGCGACCACTTTGGGGGAAGTCTAACACACCGTTCAGTCGATTAGTGCCTCCCGACTATTCCGATGGACTCAGTATAGCACACATCCTATCTATTAATTTATCACTTTATTTAATACTAATCTTACGGTTCAGGTGTTTCGAGGATATCAGTTACAGGCGAAGAGTTGCCGGGCGCTCGAGTCGTATCATTAGCCGCGGCCACTGATAGCAATATTAACGATAAAAAATTTACCCTGTTTGTTATGCAATGGGGACAAGTGAGCGCACATTGTTGTAGTGTATTGATTAATTTAATCATAATTAATTGATTTTAAAATTAGTTCATCGATCACGACCTGACACTCTCGGCGTCCACCAGAGCGTCGACCGGTGAGGGACTGATCTGTTGTTCCGATGCAGAGACCGCTGGTGTTCGCAATTTTAGGCACCCGTCGTGTCTCCCGATTCCCATCCCTAGAAACGATCCCTTCTATTCCAAACACAGGCAAACCTGTATGAACTTTGTGCGCAACGCCCCCAGTCCTCGGGCCAACTGTGCTCTCGGTATTAGACTCTTATTCGTGATATTCATAAGAATCTGGCCTAAAATAATGCATTTTCAGGACATAGGGAACAGATGAACACTTTAACCCATATAATCGACGGATCAATGGTTTACGGATCAGATGCCGACCGAATGAAGCACTTGAGAGAATTCAAACGAGGTTTTTGACACACTTTTTAATTTAATAATATCTACAGTAACTAACTTTATATTTCAATCTATGATTTATTTGGACAACTTTGACATAATAGGAAGACTTCGGATATCAATTGTAAATAAAGTCGAGTTTTTACCTTTTGATACACAAAACCGAAGCGACGAATGCGCTGTCCCTGAAAGAGATCGCTCACGAGTCCAATGTTTTGTCGGCGGTTTGTATTCATTCAACACTTTCTTACTTTTGAAAACCATTTCATTAAATATAAGTTTATAACTATTTGATGACACTTTCTCTCAACCTTTGGGTAAAATTATAATTAATGAGTGAAATGAATGTTTAGGTGATGTGCGAGTGAATGAACAAACAGGTCTCGCAATGCTTCACAATCTGTTACTCCGAGAGCACAACAGAATCGCCGAAATATTACTACAACTGAACCCCCGATGGAGTGATGAGACCGTATATCAAGAGTCCAGACGTATTGTGGCCGCAGAGATACAGCACATCACTTATAATGAATGGTCGCCTCTTATCATAGGTTTCGCAACAAAATAATACTTTAAATTTAAGACTAAACACAAATCATTGTTATTTATGTTTGAAATAATAGGTCGATCCGTAATGAAAGAGTTTAACATTTTGCCCAAAACCTATGGCTATACCTTTGATTACGACCCGAAACTGAACCCCAATATAATCAATTCGTTCGCAACGGCTGCCTATCGTTTCCATACTTTAATCCAAGTCTGCTCTTAAATAACAATCATATTTAAGACAAATTGAAACTTAATTACAAATTTCATACAAAATAGGGATTTATTGAATTAATGGACAGCAAAGGAAGGGTTACAGAAAAACTTCAATTAAGAAATCTATTCAATAATCCGCAGTCGTTGTATAGAAACGGAGCTTTCGATGAATACCTGAATGGCTATGCGGGCGAACCCACGCAAACATTTGATAAGTTTTTCACACAAGAAGTATTAATGACATAATGATTACTTTAGTGACAATAGTATTTACATTAAATTTTGCAATTAATGTCTTGAAAACAGTTAACCGAACATCTATTTGAAGAAAGAAATACCGGATTTGGTATGGATTTGATTGCAT